AGAGGGAGAGCGGGTGATAGTAGTCATCAAACTTTGATGGTCGAGAACGGACGTTACTTTTTCTGTTCTAACTACCTTGGACATCACTGCTAGTTACTTACATATATGGACACATGAAGGCACATAACCACACATAGGCAGACACACATGCTTCGAGGCTAAGCTAATTAAGTGTTGAACTAACCAAATCACTTGATACCTCATCAAAGAGCTTAGATATAGAGTATGTATGGAGCATTTAGGAATGAGTCTGTGAGTTTTCTTGATTCTTTAACTTGAATATGGTTGTAAGGATGATGCCCTATTCTAATGATGTCTATTATACGATGGATGAAAGCCTATCACGTTTTCACCGAAATGGAAGGAGATTGCCTCGGAAACAGCGTCAACAATGACGTTCCAATAAAGCCAATCGACGGTTGGTCAAGAGGAATCTGCCGTCGTCTTCTGGTGGAATCGACCTTCGAATCTCTTCACCAAACACTTTCACTCTAAATGGAAATATGCTCAACAATTATGAAACAATGGATTCCTCGAAATCAACTTTTATTAGCAGAAACAATTGTGACCAAACAACTGCACCTTCCCCTAGATCCCGTAAGTTTTTGATCTTGCAATGTTTACGTTGCATTGCATGTGTTTTATGTACATTCAATATGTAGGGTGTGAAAGGGAAATCGAGATTTGAAGTTAATGGTGTGGAACATCAGGACAATATGTACGGAGAAAATAGGACTTTTTTTTAGTAATACCAGCTTTTCGAGGATTTTCGGACGCTTACAAGTCGCACTGCTGTTCAGTTTTGTTTTACTGTGGTAGAGTCTATGAGGAGACCTGCCGATCCATACATAAGATATTATCTGAGCTCAGAGTAACCTGTGAATGATTGTGGGTCTAAAAATAAGTACTGGCCAAGCACATCCCACACAGGACACCAGGTAGACTAGTCTAAAGCCAAACGCTTAGATGGATATAAAGGCTGTCAGTAAACGTATGACTTGGGAATCCGTATAAATTAACAAAGCAGCCAATATCCTCAATATAAGCATAAACTACTTGTGGCTGTTATATACGATTAGAGGAAAAGATTTGGAACAAGAAGTACTGCCGAGCAAGAGGCTTAAGTAGCCTCAAATATCGTTTTCACTTTCACATCCAACGCATTGCAAGTATACCACATACTTGCAATTACATCTATTAACATTGCAGGATCAAAAATATAGGTGAGTATGGAAGGGACAGCTGTTTGGTCACAATTGCATCCATTTTACGCTTCATCTGCAGCCACTTCACTTTTCAACAATCATGTAGAAAAAGCGTGGGGCACAACTAAATCATGAGATTTATCATTAAGTGGACAAAGTTCGGCTATTAGAAGCAAGTTGGTTTGCAACCAGCCACATTGTATTTGGGCTTGATCATTTTTCCACGCAAGTCTACTGTCAAAGCTCCAAGACAACCCCCTTCAACTTCCTGTGAGACCAGCCTTCGAATCCCTTCCACTCGCCTCTTCAAATGAAATTAAAGGTACTTCAGCCTCGATGATGAGCCCAGCATTGTCATCGTTTTTTCTAGATGATAAATATATGACCTGGAATAAGAAGTATTAAGTTTGCTAATATGTTTCTTGTAGCACTTATTCCTTTAGTTAATTCTAGCGAGATATCTGTGAATTTTATCCATCCCCTCCGCTGGAAGGTCCAGCGTACCCTGCATTTTAATAAAATCTCCCTGGGGAAGCACCAATGAAGGGGCTTGTCTAATCCTGATCTATATTAGTCAGTTGAGAAGATTGCATCGGAGACAGCGCCTATAGGGATGTTCAAGTAAAGTAAGCCGACGGCTAACCAAGGATAATCCGTCCTATTCTGGTAGGGTTGATCTTCAAGCCTCTATCGCGCACTAAGTCGAGATGGAAGTGAGCTCAACAACACTTTTCCTTTAGGGTTTGGCATAACTTCCGAGACAAAGCCTACCGAGGCAAGCCCACCGTTGCCTACCTACATAAAGGCCCCTACTACACGTTTGAGTTAAGGGCTACTTTGCCCTGGTTATACCTGATTTTCAGCAGAGTGAATATCTGTCTATGAATCCGTATCCAGATCTTCAAAAACCCTTTGAGGAATTGTTGAAGCCTGAGATTTCGACAATTCAGTTAGCTAAAAATCATTAATGGAATAATGTAATTAATTAGTGATCCAAGGCAGAATTTTGGGCAAATACGCACGGTTGCTATGGCATCAGGTGACCAGTAGTGTATATTCTCTCCTATAATGCTAATTTAACGTTTTTCTAAGATTCCTATCACAACATCTGGTATACTTAGCCAGTTATAAGCGCATGTCTTTAAAGCGTTTCAATCAGCTAATAAGATACAAAACACTCGGTATTCCGAAAAACGGTAGATTTCGGCTATGCAGGGTACGCCTATTGTCAATCAATAGTCATCCCCCAGGTCTACAAAAGCAGTCCCCTCACTTACCCAGCCACCCTATCCCAGGTAATTGTGCTCATCGTGGAGACAAGGAAAAACATAGATTCGCATTGTTTCTTATCATACTCGGTTCTCTAGCTCTCATATTTCTGTTTCATTCCAGAGCACTCAAACTCCCTCCTTCCGTGAATCCAGCACAGGATGCAGCGCAGACGGGACGGGCCAAGCCTACACTGTGCCTTCCCAGGCTATCTGATACTCCGATATTTAGACCGCCCAAAAGCCCAGCAGTCAAGAGCTTTCCATTTCTGAGCTCAGAATATGCATGGATCTTGTCTACAGACCATAAGGTGTTTACAGGACTTAAGCAATCCTCCTCTGGACTCACCGATAGCTCCATTCCAAATGGATGTAATCTCAATAGGCCCTCAAAAGAACCGCTGGGCGCGCCATGTTTAAAGTAAATATTTTCATTATGTACAAATTTCCCTGCAGCACAACCATCCAGGCTTCCTGTAAATATGCTTCTTTTACTTTAATATACATGCGCTCGTGTGCACACGCACACACGCGGATGCATTAACTTATGTATTATTCGCATGTATGTAGATAGTGCGCCGAGCAACACAAGTTAATTTGCCTTAAATTATTCCAGAAAGAACGCCATTATACGTAGCGTTCGCGGCTATCCAGATAAAATGTACTTTTGGAATCCTCTCTTTCAGAAACACTGCGCTGACAGAAAATAATCTTTTTTTGCATTCGATACAGGATTATTCAATAGGCAGACGGACTTATTAGAAGATTTGACCAGAACAACGCGTTGACTTGGGTGTAAAGATTATTAAACCCAGTACCAACGTGCTCAGGATGCGCTCTGCTTGTTCCCACAATAGAATACACTAGGTTAGAAACTAAGAGCCTACTCAAGATATGCAATACTTTGAAGGTAGAATGGTAGATATTCCTTAGCAGCAAGTATGTCACCTCATAATGGACCGTAGTTTCATATTGCTCATCGCACCATTTTACCATTAGTTGACATCGCCGCAGCCTCCGTGAGCAAAAAATCTGTGGTGAGTTAATCACAAAAATTACGAGTTTGGGGGCTTAGAGTATGCCACAGCC